CTGGTTTGTCTGTTCAAATTTTCTCAACCAGTGAGCTACAGTTCTGCAGCTAGTCACCAGGCGAAGCTTTTAAATTAAAATGCGTTCAAAACATAATATTGAATTGCCAGCTCGGTCTTGATTTTAAATTTTTAATTCAGGTTCTTACGTATAGCAAATGGATGTACAGTGTATAGGGTTCCCTTGGTGATACATAAACATGTTTGATGTGATGTCACATGATTTTATTGATCACGTGACGGCCGATGATGTTTTTTTTTAATGTCCCCGTAATTGAAGATTCGGGGGTACATAGTTTTTGTTCTTCCGCCCGTCTGTCTGTCTATCTGTCTCTCAAAAATTTAACCTTACCCATAACTTTTGACTAGTAGGAGCTATGGCTTTCATATTTCACATGTGTATTTCTTGTGACAAGTCCTTTCTTTGGGTACCATCAAATTAGACCTTGACCTTGGATCCACTTTTGCTAAATTTATCAGACTTTAACCTTGGCCATAACTTTTAAATAGTTGGTGCTAAGGCTTTCAAACTTCACATGTATCTTGTGACAAAACCTTCCTTTGGATACCAACAACTTGACCGTTTGACCCTGGAGTTTGACCTACTTTTGAAAAAAGTTAACCTTGGACATAACTTTTGAATAATTGGTGCTAGCGCTTTCTACTTCACTTGTTTATATCTTGCGACAAGACCTTCTTATGGATACCAACAACTTTGACCCTTGAACTTGGAGTTTGACCTATTTTGAAAAACTTTAACCTTGGCCCTAACTTTTGAACAGTTGATGCTACGGCTTTCATTCTTCATATGTGTATTTCTTGTGACTAGACTTCTTTTGGATACCAACAATTTTGACCCTTTGACCTTGACCTTGGATTTTGACCTACTTTTGAAAAACTTTAACCTTGGTCATAACTTTTGAACAATGGGTGCTAGGGCTTTCATACTTCACATGTATATTTCTTGTGAAAAGACCTTTCTTTGGATATTAACAATTTTGGCCCATTGACCTTGACTTTAAAATTTGACCTACTTAGAAAAACTTTAATCTTGGCCATAATATTTGAACATTTGTTTCTAGGCTTTCATATTTCACGTACATGTTTATCACCTGTGACAACACTTTCCCTTGGGCACCATTTGACTTTGAACTTGATGTTTTACTTACTTTTGAAAAACTTTAACCTTCGCCATAACTTTTCAATGGTTGGTGTTAGGCCTTTAATATTTCACAGGTATATTCCTCGAGACAAGATCTTTCTTTGGGTACCAACTTTTGACCTGGAGTTTGATTTGCATTTGAGAAACTTAAACTTTCGCCATAAGCTGGCATACGGGGGGCATCAGTGTTTCCCAAACACATCTTGTTTTGCTCAAAAATCGCTTTTTGATTCACGCAATAAGTATTGATTTTTTTTGTTATGTACATGTATACTAATTTCTCATTATATTTAGGGTTCCATTGTATTGCCGAATTTTCCAATAATTGGCATATCCTATCTTGTCAGTGATTTGTACGTACATGTGCCTTTGTCGTCTAACGGACTTATGTGATGCTGAACAGTTGACAAAGCGTAATTAACAAATGTCATATCATATTTTATCTTTTTCTTATCACTAAAAAGGTAAAGTCGGTATTAAAAAAATAAACATTTGAACATCGTTCAGTTTCACATTTTATTTTTTCTTATTACTGAAAATATGAGGTCGGCAAAATCAACAATGAAGTACTGTGGAATCATTTAAATTCGTGGGGGTCAATGTTCGTGGGCAAGCAAAATTTTATTGGTTCCTGGGGATGTAATTTCGTGGGCAGCTCGTTTATTTGGTAGATCTAATTAATCGGTACGTTGACAAAATAGTTGTTCGTGGGGATGTAAATTCGTGGGTAACGATTACCCACGAAATCCACGAACATTGATCCCCCACGAACAATGATGATTCCGCAGTAAACATTTGAACATCGTCATTCGTAGAATTACATTTTTACATTACAATGGTATTTGAATTGAAATATAAGAAATTTTATTTATAACTGCATTGTCTTTCCCTTTAATTCAATGAGACTCAACCATTGATGGTAAAGAAGCCTTTTGTTTTAACACTATACACTTCTCTAATGTATACAGATATGCGCTGAAGCACTTTCGGGTGTTTGGTGCATGAATCGTTCTACGCAGGATACGTTTCAGCGTTTAAGTTCTGTAAATTTGTTACCATTTTTCCTCTATGAATAAAATGGGTTTGCAATATGGTGTATATTATTCTTTTTTAAACTTCTTGTAAGACTAACAAACATTTCCTATATACCGTCACCTTGTTAACATTAGTAACAGGTTACATCAGCATGGCGTCGCCCGCGTGGCGCAGTGGTTAAAGCGTCTCCTCTAGAGTCGCAAATTAAGGAGTTGATCCTTACGTCGCGGGTTTGAATCCCACTGTGGGACGTGGAGACCGGTCCTTTGGATGAGACCGTATAAACCGAGGTCCCGTGTCGCAGTAGGTGCTGGCACGAAAAAGATCCCTCACTGCTCAATGGCCGTAAGTGCCGAGTGTAGGACAAAATCTGCAGCTCTCCACCGGCAAGTGGTGGCGTCTCCATATGAGTGAAAAGTTCTCGAGAAGGACATTAAACAACATACAAACAAACAAACATCAGTATGGCTATCGGCGAAATCGAAAAGAAAACAATTGTCGGTGTATTGCGTAGGTGAGCAGCTTATCTGGGAATCAATTCGAAGAAAGAAAGATGACTTAATATGCGATATATATATTATCTATTATATATTATGCGATATAATATATTTATAGGCCATTCCAAGTTTTTCCTATGTTTAGCGTCCGCGTGCGCCTTGATTTTGAACCCAATATCAGAAAAACCAAACAAAATCAGGAGACCGGATATTGATTATTCTGGTCGAAATCTTTGAATTCTATCATTTCCTGTAATGATCTGTCTACCTTATTTTTAATTTTGGTATATTTTAAGCATTTAGTACCTGATTTTGTTAAAGTATAAATCTAGAAAGGAGAAAAATATAAATTTTTTTAAATCCAATCATTTGATTGACGTTACTTTTATTACTATGAAGTCTGTTTTCTTTTTTTGGTTTGTGTGTTTTTTGCGAATAGGAGGGTAGGTTTTTGAAAGATGGGTGGGCGCTAAACATAGAAAAAACTTGGAATGGCTTTATCTAGTCAAACACAAGCAGTTTTGTTTAACTCTAGATGCGATGTCGTCATCTTCCGTTAATCTAGCTTCTTGGGGTAGTGTAAATTCTAAATTCTACAAATCATGGTCTCCAAGCTTAAGGTTACAATAGAGAAACAAAGTTCTACAGTAAAAAATCTTTTTAAATTTTCTTCTTACGAATGACTGGACTAGACAAATAGAAACTTATGTGTATGATTCTTGATATATATAGAATCTAAATTGTTCGGAATATGGCCCCCAAGGGTAGGAAGTGGTCATAATAGCTGTTAAAAGTTAACATAGGAATAAGAGAGAACAAGCTAATTCAAAGAATTTGTGTCCCCCGCATAAGGAAAAAAGAAGAGCATACGCAGTTCGGGGGGGGGGGGGGTCGGACTACTCCCCCCCCCCCCTTTTCCCCGGATTTGTAGAATTATTAAATGTATACATGTATATTGAAGCAAATAAAAAATGCCAATATGAATTTAAAGATTTGATTGCTTATTCTTTAATATGGGTATATAAGATCCTTTTTATATATACTATTTATCACACTGTAATAATGATTTTATGAGTTTGTACAAGCCAGACGTCATAACTTTTTCACATGCTGAATACTATCATTTAGTAAATCAAAAAAATAATTCCAAAAAAAGAGGTTCGTCCGGGATTTGAACCCGGCACCTCTCACATGCTACGCGAGAGTCATACCCCTAGACCACGGAGGCACTTGATTATACAGAATTAATTAAATGCAAACATTAGGTCACATATAATGTTTAAATTCACGTTCGATATTGTCAAAATTTCACACAATACATGGTGTCTAATTTAGCTTTACTAAACAGTTCTAATAGATCACTGCGTGAAATAAGCAGTTTCCGGTCATGGGAAACTATATGGAAACCACATGGAAACCTCATGTTTACATCATGTTTCCTAGTGGTTTCCGCAGCGGATGCCAGGTTATTCCGTCAAGTTTCCGTACCACGGAAACTACTACGCTCCGATTCCATAAGGTATCCCGAACCACGGAAACCTCAGGAAACCTGAAGTTTCCCGAGCCTCCATGTAGTTTCCCATAATGGGAAACCTGAAGATTCCACTGGTTTCCATAATTAGGAAACTATGTGGAATCGGAGCGTAGTGGTTTCCATGGAATGGAAACTCAATGGAATCCTCAGATTTCCCATGAACGGAAACTAGAGGAAACCTCGTGATTCCTCAAGTTTCCATGACTCAGGAAACTATATGGAATTGGAGCGTAGTGGTTTCTGTGTGATGGAAACTTGGTGGAATTATCTGGTGTCTCATGAAAGGAAATTACTGGGAAACTTCAAGATTCCCTTATTTTTCTGAGACGGGAAGCAATGTGTAATTGTGGTGTAATAGTTTCCATACCATGGAAACTACAGGGTAGGTTGAGCATTTCAATTTCGAAAAATGATTGACAAGCAACTGGAAGCTCAAGGATCCCTGTATTTTCCATGGTAAATCTTTCTTGTCTAGAATATGAAAAGAGAACAGCAGGTTTAAATCAAAATATATATTATTAATTTCCTTGGTAAACTGTGTTTTCTTTTCAAAAATCTATCAAGAAAATGTATAAAAAGGAAAAAGCATTATCAAATCATATGTTTAATTATTCATTTGATGTGCAAAAACATTATTTGAAAATGATATAAAAATTAATAAATAAAATCATATATCTTGGTACACAATGAAGTAGTCTTTCACATCTAAGTCCACTCATAAAAACTTCATTAAATACTCTATACTTCTTTCAACGTCAGCTTCCTTTGTATTTTTCTTCACATCATCTGCGATCTGCAATATATTTTCATATAAAATTATTATTTGATGTAAGAATTGTATGCTTGAATATTATTTAGAAATCTTACAAGATCACTCAATGTTCTTTAATGTACCAATATCAGTGATTATAATTAGTTTCAGTCTTTAAATTTAATGACATGAAATCCGAATAATGAACATTACATAGTAAGGTTTTAAGCCAGATTAATATTAAAGCAGGTATGAATGAGAATGTGACCATCTCGTACATGTAGAACACTGCTTTTAGTTGAGTGAATTGGAGAAATGTGCTCTGGACAAGGATATTACAAATCTTCTTTTTTTTCATATTGACATTTGACCTAGAAATTTTGTTAAAGATCACTAAAAACCCTTCATCCCATGGCACACAAGCCAGATCATACCAAGGGAGAAAAATTATGCTCTGGACAAGGACTTTAAATAAAGATATATAGTGTGTTTTGATACTGACCTTTGACCTTGATAATTGGTCCAAGGTCACTTTTTACCCTCCATCCACAGGCACTCTATGAGTTAAATTTGAGTGAGATTGGGCTAAGAGGAGAAAAAATATACTCAGGACAAGTGATATCAGATGGACAGACAGATCATCTCATGGCATCTGCAGAACAGGACCCTAAAAAACAATGCACATACATGTTAAGCTATATCCATACAAGTCAATATGAATTCATCATATGTTGCATTGCATACACATGTTTTAATCATATTTAATACCTTATTAATAATTTCATGTTGCATGTACACTCAGTTTACATACAAATAATCTAAATTTCATCAAAAACGACCAACATATCAGCCATTCAAGATTTAGCTAATCAACATTCAGTACAAGTTCTATATGCTATATCATATGTACAGACACATACTAGAATTATTTACCTACATTCTAAATCTTGTTTTATATCATTGAAAATTAAGGTGATAGCCATTACCGGTAACCAATTTTTAACCCAAATTTACATACATGCATGTTGTAATGTTTGTTCAAAACTTCTCATTTATAAATATTACCTTATTATAGTATATTAAGTTAACATATACCTACAGTTAAAGCTTCAAAGTGTTTCATTGAATATTTTAGAAATTACAGTCATCAAAATACTGACCAGCCAGAAACCAGTAAATTTTTATTTTTCATTTTTGTCTTGTTTCATTTAACATATTTCAATGTTAGAAAGTTTTAGTAAGTTATAATATTTACTACTTTAGCATAGCCATACAGCTGAACTTTGTCATCTCTAATACCATAGATATGTCGAAGTAATTTGGAAGTATTCTTTAAATATTTTACTCCTGATATCTCGAATCCTCAAATACATGTACCACAAAATAATTTTAATTGAACTTTGAACCTTGACAAAAGGACTCTTAAACAAATATTCATTATTCTTAAAATAAAGTCTACAGGATACAAAATTATAAGTTGCTCAACAATGATCATACCAATAATATCTGAAAGAGTTGATCATTTCCTCTTGGGGTGAAAGGGGGGGGGGGAGGGGGCTTCCTCTGTACAATTTAAAATATCCTTACTTTGTGTTCAACCTTGGTTAAAATTTGTGGTTCTTGAGGAGAGGTTGAAAATGTGAAAAGCTCACTGATGGATCGACAGTTTGATGGAAAAAAGACAAAACAAAAGGTGATCAGAAAAGTTCACTCGAGTATTTAGCTCGGGTGAACTAAAATCCTCACTGCATGGTGTATATTATGCTAGATATCATCCAGACAGAAAATTTTATAGAGAAGTGAAAAAGACTCCAAGCCATACAATATCATAAGGCCAAACAAAAAAATAAGTTTGTTTACTGTTACACGCTGAAATAAAAAAGGGTTGGTAGGTAGGATTTTTTTTTATTTTATTGAATTTTTTTATACACAAATTCACATGAATGGTTGAAATACAAAACAGTTTTACCATTGTGTGGTGCTTTACTTCTGTTTGGGCTTCCATATAGGCGATAGACAATATCTTTCTTGCCAACTGCCTTACAGCTACCACACAATGAAAAAACTGTCTTGTATTTCTTCTTTAACTCCATGTTGCACTAACTATTTCTAGTCAGGGATGGGCACGATTACTGAAAAATGTAATCGATTAATAATCGATTACTTAGAGGAATTTTGTGTAATCGATTATTAATCGATTACACTCATTTTTGTCCTGTAATCGATTGTAATCGATTACTTTGGAAGATGTAATCGATTACGATTACCCCATCCCTGTTTCTAGTACTTTCGATTCAAACGCTTGACAGATTAAGATGCATGAAAAAGTTAAACTGACGAATGAGTGACTTATGGATTTTTACAATGAAAAAAAATTTGGGTTGGCTATTAGACATTGGGGGGGGGGGGGCGTAAACAAACATTTTTTTATTATTATGCCTAACCTGTTGTAGTTTGCAGCTGGTAGTTCAACATTCCAATTAAAATTGGAATCAAGTTCTTTTCTTTTAATGCAATTGTCATACATGCCTATTTATGATTGAGTTAATTACCACTTACCACATGATCACATCTTGATTCATCATACATCTTTAGTTACTGGTTCTCCTTTAATGTCAATTTTCTTCCCTCTGAAAGAATATATTATGTACAGTTACTACACTGTATTGCATTCTGATTTCACTTATAAGACCAACAATAAACAAGAGTCCTAGGGTCATTATTGCTCACCTGAGCACTTTGGGTAGGAAAAAGCATAAATCAGTTCAGTATTTAGAAGTTTATATATATAAAAGTGGTTCAGAGGGAAGGGGGGGGGGTATGAATTCTACACTTTCGAAGGATGCTTTTGAATTAATATGATACACATTAGCATTGCTGTTCTTAAGAAGAAAATTTTTATTGATATATTCCTTTTCTTCCTTTTTACAGTGAAGATGATGAAGGAGTAGATCTTATATTTGGGGTGGGGGGTAGGGGGGGGGGGGGGTGTTACAGAGACACAAACGAACAAGCACAGGCATATAAACATTATAGTGACTGTAGTATTAGTGTGTAGTTTTATGTTAGAGGGTAATAAAAGTTTTTATATATAATATAATTTCCCTATTACGGTGATTATGAGTTCATATCCTTAGTGAAGTTCTTCACTAATCATAGAAAGGGGGTGTTCCTTAATAAATTTGCTGATAATTAGTATACTATAGAAAACAAAGCGGTTTTCTGAGGGTGACCAGAGACATTCATGTTTCTGGTGTGACCCCTCAAATTATTTGACTTGGGGGGGGGGGGGGGGGGCTTGGTACGTAGTGCCCATCCAAACAGAAAATGTCCGGTTATCCCCCCCCCCACTACTTTTTCATTAAATTATTCATTATTCTGATTAATGTATAATGTCACAACGAAAGATGTTAATCCTTTATACATGTATACATGTTTTAAAATTTGAAGCGTCAGAAAATGAATATTAGTTGAGGACCGTAGGAAATAGGGAGGGGGGCATAGTGGACATGCCATACGTCCCTAAACATATTTTTTGCAGTATAGAAAACAAAGCTTATTTTCTGTTGCGCCCCTCAAAATAAACGTTTGATGACTCTTTATCAGCTGTTTATTATTTTGTGACAAGAATGTTGTCCTTTGAACAGTTGAAGTCTGCCGTAAATTTCGATCTGCATTTGGCATGCAAATGTACTACATGACATGTATACAGAACAGTATTTTATTTTTAGTGATGATGGAAAAGTTCGGTGTCAAAAATTGCTAGTTAGTAGAAGGAATCAGGGTATGTTAGACTAGTATACACTTGTGAAAATCAAGACAAAATAATTTAATTACCAGCAAGGACGGTTCAAAAATAATAAAGATTTGATGATTTTTTTTCTCTTGTTCGGCTTTAGATACTTTTTTGAACCCCCTCCTTTTTTGGTTTCGATTTTAGCCTGATATCAATAATAATCAGTGGACGAAATTGCTGGACTTTTTTCTATTTGTTATATTTTACTTCAAACATCTTTGCCTTTAGTTAAGATAATTCTCACTGTTATAATGTATCAGAATTTTTCACATTAAATCTGAAAATTGATTTATAAAAAAAAGGAGAGTAAACACAAGGTGAAAAAACGAACCAATATCTAAGCAAAGGTAGGGAAAACAGTATTTTAATTTGGAAAACACCGGCCCGTAGAATGCGGGGGGGGGGGGGGGTGAAAGTAAATGGTTATGCTCTTCTTCTTCTTTTTTTTTTTTTTTTTGGCTTGTCAGATTTTTATGGAAGCCCCCCCCCCCCACTTTGAAAACTGTTGCTACTGACCTGAAACACATAATTAAAATAAGCTCAGAATTACTGTAGGTAACCTACAATCACGTCCATTGCGAATTTTAGTCGTGACTGGTAACAATTTGTCAATATTTGATCATCAGATTTGTTGGAAAATAATGCCCGGTGTATACTCGTTGATGTGCAGGGCTGTATATATATACGTGGCTTTAACCAATCAGCCAGTACCTCCCTGTATCTTTCTCTGGTAATTTCTGGTAAGGTTTGCTAGTTAAGAACTTTCTGGTAAAGTTTGTGCCCCAAACTGAAATTATACAGGCCTGTGGTTTGAGTAGACAGTTTTAAATGCAGCTTTTTAAAAAAAAAAAAAAAAAATAAGTAATGGTACATGTAGGGGTATAAAAATCAAGAAATGGACGGCATATATATAAAGAAATGTTTGTACATGTAGAAGTATTGACAATCACCACATCAGTATATTATACCTAAATATCGAAAGAAACTATTTTCTCTCCATTTTTTGAAGGAGGGGAGGGGACTTAAATTTGAAAGGGGTAACCTTCTGTTTAACATAATACACGATTTAAAAATATTAAGTTTTCACTAAGCATCTACGTGTAAAATAATTAATAAATTATTGGGTTTTTTTTCTTCAATGAACTGCCTTAGCACGCAGTAAAATCATGTTATATAAATATAATAGACTTTTCTTTATTTAGAGCCAGCATTGGTCTTTGTGTACAAAATGGCTAAATTAAATATACGTGCATGTATGCATTTAAGACCAACATTATTGCAATTCCCTGCGAAAAATGAAGACATTTACTACATCAGGGTCTGTGTACAGATATAAATTTTAAAAAAAATAAGTTATTTAGTTAACATTCATTAATTTTGTATATGAATATTATTCTGCTGTATTATCAATGTCTTTGTAGAGGACTATATACGAATTTCACACAAAACATTAGTAATTTAGTTCTTATGTTGTATAATAGATCTATCTGCATCCTTTCTCATAAACAATTTGCGAATTAAGCAGGCAACAAAGTTGATAATTAATAATTCTTTCTATGTTTTCAATATTCAAAGTTTACATTGATGTCAAACAAGGACGATTCGTTATTTACCGATTAAGAAATTTTGTTTCATTTATCTATGCACTTACAAATTTGTTGGAAAAAGAATTATGATTTAACACATAACGAGAATTTAGATTTATTCTAGACCGATAGAAAAGTATATATTGTTAAACGGTTAGAAAATTTTGTTTTTTAATCAGTAATGAAAAATTAAAATATAATTCTTTTTTTTTCTTCTTTCGTTGAACATCTTAAAATTAATGTAGCTTATTTTATCAATATTCTGTGGTCTTATTGATAATTTAAATTATTTTTTTAAAAAATCAAATCAATGGCCAGCAATTATCACCTAAATTTAAACTGAGTTTGTGGAGACTATGTGTATGTACATGCTTGACCACAGCCTATTGTTCCCCTTAGGTAGAAAACCCTCTCAAATCACATAGAATATACAAAAAATACACAGTCGCAGGTGTCTTCGCGACACGTGTCTCCACCTGTGGCACGTGAGAACAGGTGCCCGCGATTACAAGAGTTAGCGCAATGATTGAATTTTATCTGAATAGTTTACACTGATTTTTCTAAAATTAAAAGTTGTATTAAATCTTCTCTTACTACTAATTCCAATTCACGTGTCTTTATGAGTTTTACCGAGACTAAAATATTAAAAAAAAAATTTATTTGTCACAGAATGTTCAATTTTATTACACAGAATTACACAAACAGTTTTTTTTATTATTCTTTTGATACACGTTTCCAAAATGTCTATTATCGGGAAAATAGGTGTAAACCACAGCATACGTGTTTTCCATATCTGGAAAACATGCAGGAAACTACAGGTTGATTGCTTCCATATCGGGAATATACGTGGAAACCACTACTGCATGTTTCTGCGGTTTCCCATATTGGGAAACTTACGGGAAACCACAGGTTGATTGTTTCCATATCGGGAATCTACGTGGAAACCACTATGTAGTTTCCATAAAATGGAAACTATATGGAAACTACTGATGTAACGATTCCCATATGTTTCCATCGGGTTTCCAAATTTGGGAAACCTGGCTTTTCATCCTGTGGATGTAATAAGAATATTAAGTCCGCCGACAACCTGTATTATACGTAATAACTCTCCACATGTCCCTGATCTAAAAATAGTGCCAAGCGACTTTTAATACAATAAATAATTTTAAAAAACGGGGCGAGACACTTTGAGAGGGGCGAGAGAGGCCGTAGGGATTTATGGTATAAAATTTCATTGCAAAAGCTCAAAAGCTTCTTGAGATATCGCCCAGAAACGAAAGTGTTACACACAGATGGAATGTATGAATTTACGACCTTGAACTTTGACCTTTTGACCTCAAAATCAATAGGGATCTTCCTTAGGCCCAAGGAAGTTTTTATGTAAAATTTCATTGCAAAAGCTCAAAGGATTCTCGAGATATCGCGCGGAAACGAAAGTGTTAAAACAGACAGAATTTATGACCTTGACCTTTTGATCTCAAAATCAATAGGGTTCTTCTTTAGGCCATAGGGAGTTGCTGTGCAAAATTTCATTGCGAAAGCTCAAAGGGTTCTCGAGATATCGCGCGGAAACGAAAGTGTTACAGACAGACAGAAATGCAGACGGACGGACAGACAGACAGACCCAAATTAATTTCCCCTATTTTCGGTGAAAGCGGGGGACAAAAAAATTAGAAGCCTTCTCATGAACTACTGGATCAGAAAAAATGAAACTAACCTCTCTGAGGTAGTGTAGATTCTAAAGTTTTCAATACATGGCCCATTGGCATAGGATGAGGTCACGAAAGATGATCACATTTAACACTGAAAGATATAGGAATTACAAGTCTTGAAGTTCTCATAAACCAATGGAAAAGAAAAAAAAACCTGAAACTGAAGTTAAATCTTTCTTATATAATGTGGATACTAAATTGTTCAAATCATGGCTCATGGGACAAACACAATAGTCATTGGACTACAAAAAAAATGTTTAAAAAAATCCGATGAATCATTAATTTTATTTGTAAGCATTTCCAAGATGTACGGATTCATTTTTTTTTCTTTTAATTATAGACCCCGGGTAAATATTGGCTGAAATTGAGATCAAATTTTACATCAAATGCATGTATCTAAAAGAAAATTCTTCTCCATAACAATTATATTGGTCTATAATACTTAATATACATATCAACATTTTAATACTGAACTAATTTTCTGCTTATTTTTAGCCAAGTGAGCAATGTGACCTATAGACAAAT